AATTTGTTCTAACAAAACAGTTTACCTTTATGCTGGTCGTAATTTGCGGTTTTTGAACACATTATAGAGAGTTTATGATATGTGTGTAGATAAATAAATTAATAAAATTACGATATCGTTATCGATATCTAATGTCAATCCGAATCGAACTTTTAACTCTGAATGTTCTGAATAGCTCGGAAAGCGCCCGTCGATTCGAGAACGATATACAATTGTGTGATTTGGTGAAAATATAGAGAAGAGTTCTGAATCGGAGTCCTGAGCTATGGATTGAACTAGCAAACCTTACAAATTTTTCTATGTGCTTGTTGGAAATCTTTGTATCTGTTTTTTAACCGACTTCAAAAAAAGGAGGTTCTCAATTCGTCTGTATGTTTTTTTTTGTATGTATGTTACGCGATAACTCCGCCGTTTGTGATCCAATTTTGATGATTCTTTTTTTGTTGGAAAGAAGGTACCTCAAATGTGGTCCCATTTAATATTTCAAGAAAATATTCCACCTCTAAGGGTGGCAAACTAGGGGATGAATGACTTTTGAGGTCGGTTTTTTTAACCGGAGGTTAGGTTATTTAACGACTAGTTTGCTGTAACGCAATTCGTGGGAAATCTAGGAAAGTTTTTCTTTACTCTCAGTCAGATACCTTTACAGCTACCGGCTGACTAGATAAATCGCTTAAATTGTTGTAATAAGTTTATTGAATATCACTATATTTTACTACCATGATAATCAATTATTTTTTGTGAAATTACTAGAGATGGCACAAATATTCAGCTACTATTCGGTATTTGGCCTATTCGGCCACTTTTTTTAAAATTTGGTATTCGGCCGAATAGTTGGAGTATATAATATCAAATTACGAAAAAAAGCACGTATTATTTATTTATTTACTTATTCATTCATGGAAAACCAACAGTTACAATTACAGGTTTCCACATATAGTTTTAAATAAATCATACGCGAGTATTAAAAAACTAACAATATTTCTTAACATTAAATAAATAAATAAATAAATAACGCACACACTCAACATAGCCCCGCACTAGGGAAACCCTGTGTCGCGGGTGCCATGGACACACACATAGACAACCACAAATTACACCCAAATTCACAAGAGAAATAATTGTAGGCCATACAACTATTTCTCCCGGCCCGGGAATCGAACCTGGGACCTCTGCGTGGCAGTCCGGCATGGTAACCGTTCGGCCACGGAGGCAGTTATGCACTAATATAAATATAATAACACAATACCTGCGCTAATCACAAATTATTTAATAAACTTAGGTTAATAGAATTTCTGTGAGTTTACGTTTTATAGCATCAACATTACAATTGAATATATCAACTTCCAGGTCATGATTGATCAGCACACTTTCCAAGCTCTTGCTAGCTCTACATAGAAAACTATTTTGTCTGTAGTTAGTCCTCGTTAAGGAAGCAATAGGGTGATAGTGTCTCATAGAACGAGTAGGTACAATAAACGAAATATCAATTTTGTATCTTTGTATAATTATTCAAAACGTATCTTAATCGCAAATTATTGCTTTGATACTTAAAATCAATCAGTGGCAGGTTCGGATGAATGAAAACAGTTTTTTCAGCATTAGTTAATAACAAACGATTGCTCTTTTTCTCATACACAATTCTTGTTTCTGAAAATAGCTTCTTTCTAAAACACTACTGCCAGGCGTCAATAGAAAAATCTTAGCAAATTTTAACAGGTTTGGATAATGCTTTGCGTTTGCTGACCACCTCTTGTAAGGATATACCGTTCGATCTAGGCGAATAGTTTTCAAATAAAAATCAATCTCATATGCAATAGAACTTTTCCCCACAACCTCATCATTTTGCATATTATCTGCAGCGCCTTCCTCAAAACAGGTCCAGAAACTGACATGTACTGAATTTATCCTTTTATCATTTTACAACAAAAACACCCGACCCCCGTTACCAACGAGACAGGTCGTAACAGGTCGCGCGAATATGCACAGATCTTACGCCGAACATTCGGCAGCCGAATATTCGGTATTCGGTATTCGGCCAAATCACTATTCGTGGCATCTCTAGAAATCACTCCACTTCAGGACTACCGCTTAACCGAGTACGTCCCTGAGGTAGGTGCGCGGTGCGGGAAGGATGACTGTTTACGTAATATTTATGTCGCGCTGCACACGGGGTGATTTCAATAAGATTTTTCTGACGATATTCAACAACAAGTTGATAGAAACAAAGAGCTAAATAACCATTCATCATCATTTCAATTATCAAAGGAGTAGAGTAGTTTGTTTTATTATAAAATAATCATTAATACAGATTATTAACAAAGTAAACATACCAGGAAAAAAGCAATGAAGACACTGAGGAAAAAGAGGAGCGACAGGCAGAAGACGCAAGAGTATTCGTTACCGGCTATTTTCTTCAACCTGGAAAAGAAAACGGCTTATTAATGGGACTACCACGGCATTGTAGCGCATCCTCGATGTTTGCTCTAGCGGGAGTAGATGAATTTTTTGCTGTGATGCGAAACAAAATGGCGTCACTACTCTCGAGGCTGCGTTCTAGTCCTAACAGCATTCTGAAAATGTTTGCGGCTAAGCTTGATGCGCCGATGGTTCAACATTTTATCCAGGTTCTGGTGAGATCATGAGGTTATCGGCGCCTCGAGCGGTTCTTGTGTTTGTCCATGTATTGTCCCGTAATTTGTACCTACTGACAATAGCTTTAAGTTTAAATATTCTGTATCTTTTTGTATTACTAACAAGTGGGCCATAGATGTCCAAATAAATGATTTATTATTATTATGACCTTGTTGGCCAGACTAATTTGTAAAATACTACCATATGCCAATAAATGTTTCCCTTCCTTGCCTCACACATCTTTTCACTCGCACATGTACGTCATACAGTGCGATCGAAATTTGACAACATTTCAAATTTGTAATGGTATTAAAATTAAGAAACCATTTATGATTTGCTAGACATGAACACGATATTTATTTTTTAATACAGTTGCTCAAAACGTGGTATTCTTCGTACTACAAGTCGTGCCGAAAGTTGGAATTTTCACACTAGTGCTTTTTACTTTTCCATTTTTTTTTTAATTTACTGTTGTTTCAAATCTTAAGCACAGAACTAAAGAAGTTGTAGTTTATGTGATTTGTGACGTAAGTCATTCGTCATTAAAACTTATATTTATTTACAAATACTATATAATGAACGTATCGAGTGGAGGTCCACAGTCTCTGCCTACCCCTGAATAAGTGACAGGCGAGATTTTTATGTATATATTTGTTCTATGTATTACAGATAAATTGTATCTCACTACCGTGCACGGGTTCCTAAAGAAGTTTAAGCAAAAGTACCAGGACTTCATAATAAGAAAAGTGGTTACAGACCGATATTACAGAAAATAAACAAAAACAGCACGTTAGAACTAGATTTCCATAGACTTTTAAATAATGGTTGCAGTGGTTGTATTTCATTATTTTAATTTACTAGCAGAAAATGAGTTTTTTTTAAATACTGTTTTATTTTACTTTCAATGTAGTTTTTTAGCAAATGTATTAAAAAACGTCGTTTGATGCACGTGCGGATTTGTCGTTTTCACTTGTCTCGAGCTTCGAGACTCGTGAATAATGACTACGGCTGACTGTAATGCTCTGGCCACACAGAGGCGGCCGCGGAAGCGTTCCGAGCGCGAAAATTTTTGTAATGTTCGAGCGAGTTCTTATGAACCCTGTCACACTGAAATGCACTGCGGCCGCGCAGCTAGTCGGCGCGGGCCAGACTCGAGGCGAACGCAGGGCGGGTAATACATTAAGTTCTATGCAACCGTTCACACAGAGCGTTAGCGGGGCTTCAGCGGATGAATTCGGCCCAAAAACTTATATCATTGGTGCAATAATACCCCAGTTTATTTAATTAAAGTAACAGAAATTATAAAAACTAATAGAGTGCATTTATTCGAGACGAATTGCAATCGCGCTCGTCACGCGCGGCGGCCGCCGAATAATTTTATTGAGAGATTTTTTTAAATAATTAGTAACTTTGATATAAATAATTGAATCTATATAGATAAAAATAATTGAATCTGATATCGGGATGGCTGGTGGCTACTTTATTCAGCATGAAGGGAGTGGATTTTCCAGAAGTACATATATATTACCAATAATTGCTACTTTCACGAATTGAAAGTATACGCTTATTATCTATTAGTTAAAAAAATATAACCGATCGAAAAGAAGTGCCTGATTAAATTAAAAAAAGCAAAAGTTGAATATATCGAAGAAAAGGTAACAAATAGTAGCAAAGTGCCAGACGCCACAGGCGATCAGCCATCCTGACGGTCAACCCTTGTCCTTCCAACGTCTTTACACGTGCACTCAATCGTGTAATTGCTGTATCACGCGCTATAAAGTGTTTATGTAAAGCCCGCTAACACTTCTCAAATTACATATTATCATGGTCGACTGGTGGTTAAGCTGGAAACCCGACAAACTAAATCAAACTCACGCGCAAGACACACAAGAACAAGTATCATCGTCAGATTTTTTGTGTCTATGTATCTCTTCATTGCTGTCCTGATCTCTGTCCAGATCTCTGTCCTTATCTCTGTTCTTATCTCTGTCCTTATCTCTGTCCCTATCTCTGTCCTTGTCTTTGTCCTTCTTTTTATTCTTTACACTATCTCTCGTCTTCTCTTTGCTTTTTTTTCTAGATTTGTCATCGGTTTTCTTGCGTTTATTTGAAGGCTAGAAAAATGAAACAGAATGAAAGTTAGCGTTACGATAGAATAAGATTAAGCTAGTATTTACAGAAACAAACGCTGGAGTTTCTTTCTTTATCGACGTTTTCTCAGAAAAAGTCTTCAAGTTGTTATAAAGAGCAAGTTAAGTGATACCAGAGAAACAGACAAGAGTGAAACCACAGTAACTCAGGTCAACTCCACAATAGCATTTTACCTCGTTAGGTGGGCGGGGGGGTGCAGTTTTTTTTCCTTCATTGTCTGATTGTCCTTTGTTTGTGGTCTCTCTCTTCGTCTCCCTTACGGGCTTCGAGGTTCCCTCTTCTTCTTTATGTCTTGCATCTCTTATGTCCGACGGTCTCTGTGAATGTTGGTGAAATGATGACGATGGGGAAGATGCAGTTTCAGACCTACTGAAAATACTAATGAGGTCCCATGTCAGTACTAATACGACAGTACCTTTAGCTCTACTGGAGAAAAGGACTACACTAGGACACATGCCATTATCGAATAAATCTATTAAGCCGTAGCACCGTGCGCAGAATATTAATTAATGTTTAAATAGTAACAGTAAGAGACAACTTGATACGGGTCGTCAAAACCGTTGAGCAATTTTCAAGTTAGAGTGATATATACTCCCGGACACGTAATATGAGCCACCTTAGGACTTGAGTAAACATATTGCTGTCATCGAAGAAAAAGTTTTCTCTGGGTTTACAAATTCTAATTTTCAACACATGAAAATAACGTTTGTAATGGTATACCAGTTTCAAAACAGCATAACAGGTCCTAATCAGAAACATTTTAAGACTTAGGAGATTTAGTACAGAAAATGAAAAATGGCGCGAATTATCGTGCCCGCCATCTTGGATTTAAAAATGAGTGCCATATTCGTATTGAGCATCTCGAAATACCTCGTAAACGATACCCAGAATCAAAATCAAAATAATCTTTATTTCATAGGTAAGCATTATTACACTTGAAATCTTCACATTGGTTAAACTCTACCGCTCATTCGTAAGGCAGATTCCCCTGAGAAGAATGAGCAAGAAACTCTAGGGGTTGCTCTTTGTAAACAACATTTGTACGCATTCAACTTGTAGAAATGGAGGTCAAATGCACACTTACATTAGAATAAAAAAATCTGCAGCCATCGCGATATTGCCTATTCTCAAAAAATTACGTAATATAATTATTTTGAAACAGAATAGCAAAATTGGGAGAAAGAAATCCGTTACTTTGCAACATTTTTGTCTTGTTGCAACGAAATTAATTTTCTGTTTTAGTGAATATTTACATAAAAATACTTCCTTGTGGAATGTGATGTTAGTGTCTATTTTATGTTTGTCTGACGTATTTTTACCGCACATTTCATTTTTAGCTAAAATTCTTGAGCTGTTCGCGGTGCAAGTTGACCTTGAGCACTGACGGCCTGCCCGTTCGTGTAGGCCCATTGGGAGCGCTTCAATTTGCCTCACTTAGCGTGTGCGGACTAGGTTTCTATGCGTTATTATTCTAAGCTGTCCTTAATATACAATGTACTATTATTACCGTACGAACGCGTCAATTCTCAAATGAATGTACCGCGAAATTATGCAAATTTATGTGTCTGTACACACCTCGGGCGTGCAAATATACAACCGCTGCTGCTAGGGCTTGCTCCCGTGAATTAACCGGAATACCGGAAAATCCCGGTACAGTTTTTGAATAACGCACACACACACACACTCAATATAGCCCCGCACTAGAATAACCCTGTATCGCGAGTGCCATGGACACACATATAGATAACCACAAATTACACCCAAACTCACGAGAGAAACATATGTAGGCCATACAAATATTTCCCCCGGCCCGGGAATCAAACCTGGGACCTCCGCGTGGCATTCTGGCATGGCAACCCTACAGCCACTGAGGCAGTTGTTGCCTTTTTTCGCATAAAACATCATACTACTTCGAAACTTGCAATAAATATGGAATTGTAACAATTTTATTTCAGTTTCTGTCCACGGCAGAAATGGATTAAAACCCGCGCGGGATGATTGAATTTTATCTCACTACTCATCTCTGCTCGTGTGGCACTCGATGCGTTGAAATAATAGCGTTGCGACTCTGACTTACTGGTACTGGCCAGGTGCAATCAGTCCCGGTACCACGGTTATAGATTCCCAGTACTCCCGGTCATAGCAGGGAGGTAGCTACCTTCTGAGCCATGAGTAATTGCCATTGTAATGCTACTTAAAAAACTACAACAAGAACTTAATTATCTCTCAAACAAAATATTTTTAATAAAAACCTTTAGTATGATTATTTTAGATTTGTGGTGTTATTATTACGTAAATGATTGAATAGGTACGGATAATCCGGAAGAAGCGTAATTAAGAAGTACCGGGAATATCGGGAATACCGGTAGGTACTGAGCGCAGCCCGACACCGGGAACCAAATTTTTGGGAACCGGGCCGGGTCTGCAAGCAATAGCTACGTTTGTATGGAATTGTCTTTCGTCACTAAGATTGTCCTATTATACAATGACAATTGTATCCATGTGATGAGGTTGTTTATATTGCGCGCACAGATCAAATATCCATACGTGTCCCTCAAGGCTCAATTCTAGGCCCATTTTTGTTTTTAGTTTATATTAATGACTTACCTAGCCTTATGGAGGGTATAAAACATGAGATAGTATTGTTTGCTGATGATACTTCCTTATTATTTAAAGTTAAAAGGCACCAATGTTCCTACGACGATGTGAACAATGCTATATCTAAAGTAGTTGATTGGTTTGCTGTTAATAACCTACTTCTTCATGAGAAAAAAACAAATTGTGTGAAATTTACATTACCCAATGTTAGAGAGACGGTTACAAACATTGTAGTTAAAAACGAAAAATTGAATCTTGTGGATACAATTGTATTTGTAGGTATAACATTAGATGCTAAATTGCAATGGGGTCCCCATATAAGTAAGTTGTCAAAACGGCTCCGCTCTGTAGTGTACGCGATTAAAAAAATAAGGAAACTTTCAGACGTCGAAACCGCTACATTGGTTTACTTCAGCTACTTTCACAGTCTAATGACATACAGCATTTTGCTTTGGGGTAATGCCGCCGATATCAATAGAATCTTTGGCCTGCAGAAACGTGCAGTTAGGGCAATTTACAATCTGGGTCCCAAAGTATCTTTGAGAGGTAAGTTTAAGGAAATTAACATTCTTACACTAGCCTCACAGTACGTTTATGAAAATATAATTTATGTTAAAAGGAATAGTAATTTATTTATGAAAAATAGTGACAGACATAACATTAATAATAATAATAATAACGCACACACTCAACATAGCCCCGCACTAGGGAAACCCTGTGTCGCGGGTGCCATGGACACACACATAGACAACCACAAATTACACCCAAACTCACGAGAGAAATAATTGTAGGCCATACAACTATTTCTCTCGGCCCGGGAATCGAACCTGAGACCTCTGCGTGGCAGTCCGGCATGGTAACCGTTCGGCCACCGAGGCAGTTAACATTAATACGAGGAATAGAAATAAACTAGCTTTTCTTGATAGTCGTCTTCACAAAGTCAAAAAATCATTTAAGGGGCAATGTATACGCTTCTATAACAAGATTCCGGTTGATATACAAAATTTGCCTTTCACGAGGTTTAAAACTATAGTGAAACAAAAACTTTATACTAAAAGTTATTATACAACTTCTGCGTTCTTGGATGATAAAAATCCGTGGTAGTAACCCGTTTAGCTCATGGAGGTAGTCTCGATCTCTGATGTTTCAAATAAAAAAATAATTGTAAATGTTATTTACAAAGAGCAACCCCTAGAGTTTCTTGCTCATTCTTCTCAGGGGAATCTGCCTTACGAATGAGCGGTAGAGTTTAACCATTGTGACGATTTCAAGTGTAATAATGCTTACCTATGAAATAAAGATTATTTTGAATTTGAATTAGCAATTACTGTTTGTCCAGAAAAGGGCAGTACGGAATATTCTGAAGAATTCTTACCTTCGAAAACGTCCAAGTGTCGGCTTTTTCGTCTTGAAAAGGCTGTAAAGAAAAACGTGTTCTCTTAAAATTATCACAAAGTGTTAAAAATAGAATAGACATAGAATTTATTTATTTTATCTTATACGTAGTTTTTAAATTATAAATCTTACAACTTTACTATAATATATATTTTTCTCTAATAAATATTATATATTTTTCTCTGTAAAGAATTGTATTTTGAGCGGCGCGGTAAACATCGTTACGCTGCGACACTGCATTGCTCGTGTGCAGTGATACGCGCATTGTTAACACCGGGCTTAAATCGGGTTAAAACACATTAACGCCCAAAATTGAAGGCAAAAACTATTTACAACTAAATATGTGTTGTACATCAAATTTTGTTCAAATTGAATGATATTATTACAAAAGTGTAGTTTTCTGATCTAGATGACTTAATTTGCTTTTCTGTGGAATCGATTTGATTATCGAAATCGATACAAATAATCGTTAGATCGTATAAAGTTAAATCGACCATAAAACTTAATCATTATGTGTATCCTTAATAGTGAGAATCCACAGGGTTGGTATTGTGTGGAATTGCATCTTTTTCGTCTAAAACATCAAACTATTACGAAATTTGTAATAAGTAGCGAATCAGATGGCGCAACGCCCATGTGGCATCGTTCTGATGGCGGCACTACTTGTTTTCACTGTTGGTGTTTGATGTACTTAGAAAAATGACTCTAACAAACATGATGAAAAGCCTACACATGGAACCAAATAAGCAGTTCAAATAATGAATATTTTTTTTATAAAAAATAAGTGCGCCTTTGACCTCCATCTCACATGATGGAAAGTGATGATGATACATAATGCCTATTCACTCTCGCCTTGAAAAGGTCCAAGTTATAGCGTTCGGGGAACAAGGTCGCAAGTAGGGAATTCCACTCCCTAGCCGCTCGCCATATAAATGTGGAAGCGAAACGCTTCTTACGAATTCTGGGAATATCCACAACATAGGGGTGTAATCCCAGCCCACGTCTAGTCCCCCGAAGATGGAAAGGGGAAGGCGGAATTAAATCGTGTAATTCCATCGCACACTCTCCGTGATACATCCTGTAAAATACCGATAAGCAGGCAACTTTACGGCGGTGTTCAACACTCTGCAGCTTCACCTCTACTAATTTCGAGTCACCTATAAGCCTCTTGACACGCTTGTCGATTATGACATAGTGTGGCATAGTGTGTTGATGGAATCGAGAAACCGACTGCCGCGCGGTAACGCGAGTTCGGTATTTGTTGTATTTGTCAAATAGACAAACAAGAAAAATACTCTGTCACACATGCCATCTACACATGGTTATTGTTTGCCAAATAATGTCAAATAGCCACAGACCAAATAAATACTAGTAATAGACTGGTTAGTGGTCAGGGCGTACCCTGTAACCTACCTTATAAGCAGACTCTCCCATGAGTGTCAAAAGCGCGTTAGTTGTCGTTCAAATGTACAAGAAGATTGTTTTGTTAAAAAAATAGAAATATGCCACTGTATCCTATCACGTAAGAAAGTAATTGATTTAAGTGCCGATTGCATTTAATCTGTGCCTAACCCTAATCATAGCAAGTATAAACAATGCCTAATTCAACATTTCCCTAGTTATCAAACAATGTCGATATCAATTAAATGTCACGTCCCTATTAGTAGATTGTCAACTTTTTCTTTTTCAATCTTGAATTGTCAACGTTGAAGTTCATAGAATTCTTAGCTTTATATGACTAATAATAATTAAATTAAAACAATAACTAAAACTAGGAAATAAAACTATTTTTCCGGATTTAAATCGCGTATATTTGTTTTTTCAAACAAACCGACGTTTCGGGCCCTTTACAGGTCCCATGGTCACGGTTGACTCGGTTTGAAAAAATAAATATACGCGATTTAAATCCGGAAAAATAGTTTCATTTCCTATGTGTAACAATCGCGAAAACCTAAGAACTCGATAAGTTTCATTGTTTTTACTATTGTTTATTTTGGTTTGATAATTTATAACCAATCAAAATTATATTATCTTTGTAGGTACTAATGTAACATTACGTTTTGAAATGTGTGCGGGTGGCTACACCGGTTTTTTTAATGTCGCTTGTCGTCATTTCTACTCTTTTTTTTTTACTTCCGTGCAAATAGCTACGTGTAGTGCCACCATTATGTATCAATGCGTAAACTTACCGCATTTACAGTCCTGTATTGGTTATAGACCTTGCTCATCTCTTGCATATATGGCTGCACCTTTGTTGGTTTACTTTCTGTGCCACTTGAGTCCCCCGAATTCTGTGAAGAGGACTACTTTTTTTTTTCATTATAAAAGTTATTTCCTTAGAATAATAACGTATAGAAACGCACACGCTAAGTGAGGCAAATTGTAGGGACCCAAATAGGCTTACACGGGCAGACGGGCCGTCAACGCTCAAGCTCAACTTGCACCGCGAACAGCTCAAGAATTTTAGCTAAAAATTACGAAATGTGGAGTAAATGGGTGTAAAAATACATCAGGCAAACAAAATGGATACTAACATCACAATCCATACATAAGTAACGCGTTTCAACTTATAGTTTTAAACGACTTAAAAAAGGAGGAGGTTATGTTATATGTTACGCGATAACTCCGGTATTTGTGAACCGATTCTCATGATTTTTTTTGTTGGAAAGAAGGTACCTCCATTGTGGTCCCATTTCATTTTGAAGAAAATCATTCACCTCTAAGGGTGACTGTTCACACATGAAGATTCATTTTTATACATAGCGCCTAAATTTTACTTAAGGAGCAATTGTTTTAATGTTTGGTTTTTCCTATTCTCCAATTCAAGGCGTTTTTCTCTTTCAATGTACTTTGAGTAGTTAGAACCGATTTTTATTATCTCCTGTGTAGTGGCGAACTAGGGGATATTTCAATAAAACTTGGCAAATAGATGACAAGATACGAAAATGTTGCAAAGTAACGGATTTTTCTCCCCATTTTGCTATTCTGTTTGAAAATAACTATTACACCGATGCGACAACATTGTAGGGAATTTACGTTAGCTATTTTTACGGAATATAATTTAGTATTTGCCTTCATTAGTTACATGTAAAACTGATTATTCTTGTTCATCATACAGGACGCATTTTAAAAAATTGTCTTGCCCAGACTCAGAAGTTCTTTAACTAAACTTATTTCAGGGAACTAACACTGACTAAAAAAGTCCCCGTCAATTCTCCAAAGTCGCGTATAGATAACTTTCAGGATCAGATTAGGGAAACCCTGTGTCGCGGGTGCCATGGACACACATATAGACAACCACAAATTACACCCAAACTCACGAGAGAAATAAATGTCGGCCATATAAATATTTCACCCGGCCCGGGATTCGAACCTGGGACCTCTGCGTGGCAGTCCGGCATGTCATGGCAACCGTTCGGCCACGGAGGCAGTAAAATTTATACATAAAAAAAAAACAAAAAACTTTTGACGTTGGCCCCGCCCAAATTTGTGAAACAAATATATGCCTGAAGTTCGCGTGACATGCGACAGGAGATGTTGAATTTTGCGCATTAAAAGTACCAAATTCGTTTTAGCGGAATAACTCTAAAACTAAAGGAATTTAAAAAAATCCGTAGTGATACTTGTAGATCATGCCTAAAAATATAATTAATTATCTAATTTTTGTTCTAATAACCTGTAGCATTTCGAGGATAAATCGAAAAAATGTGAAAATTAGAGGTCATTTCGTGATTTTTATCTATCGAAGAAATTTTATTGTTTTATGTTTCTGATTAATGTATATGCTTGAATATATCGTGTAGTTACTCATACAATATTTTATTTTTAACTTTAAAGTGGATATACCCCTCTAAAATCAAATCGAAGATTAGGAATTTTCCTCTGCTCCCTCTTAATGATGAGTTAAGCAAGAGACAATTTCCCCACTTTTGAGGGATGAGCCGATGAGCGTAAATACAAGTTGCTTGTGCCTACATGAGTTTGTTTTTGGCCTTACTTGTGACAGTTCGTCCGATATCAAACTATCATTTTATACGTTATTATTCTAACTTCAATGTGTAATTAACAATGGTCGGAAAAAGGTGTTCCACATATATAAATATAAGTAAGATATAGTTACAAGGATCGACATAGAACGCCAAAAGTCGCAGTTTATGATTGCTGCGCCCTAAAAGGAAAATGTTAACATTAGATTATTTTAAACTTTTTATGAAAAAAATCTGCTGAACACTTAAACAAGACGAAATAGTGCCAGTTTTGATGGCCTTCCTCATGTTCAGCTATTTACCTTCACAAATACAATAGAGGAGTTTCTTTCTTCCGGAAATCGGGAATCAGAAACAGTAATTAGTTAATATTTGGTAGTTTTAACAACTCTATGTCGCTCCTGTTTGCGATATAGCGACCATTGGTAATGATTTTTAAACCTGAAAGTGGGATTATAAGTTTTCTGGTAGGATAACTTTACTTTTAACTACATGGCGAGAAAGTTTGTTCTGGGAAGTTGGTACTGATATGAGACGTGGCAATAACTGCTATTTTTCAATAATTAATTATACTGCTATGCTATTTTTAACCGACTTAAAAAAACAGAGGAGGTACGCCAGCCAAGGCAAGTTTATCATGAACATTGTACCTCGGATGTCCTCGAGGATGATAAATACTGATTCCGTGACCTCGTGTTCTTCAGGAGGTTTGCCTTTTCCGGGTCACTATAAGTAAGAACACATAAGAAATAATTAGGCAAATCCGTACTACAGATCTACCGCTTAACTAAGTCGACTCCTGAAGTGGGTGCGCGGTGTGGGAGGGGTGACAGTTTATTTAACAGTTATGTCGCGCTGCACACGGGATAATTTCAATAAGATTTTTCTGACGATAGCCAATAGCAAGTTAGTTGAAAAAAGTGCCTACCAAATTGGTCAATTGTTGTTATATAAATGTTTGTCCTTATCAACTGACCCGAGAGATAAGGTTTTCTGGGGCCGTACCATGAACGCTTATTACAGTTCAGTATAGGTTTGTTTCGACAAAAAGGCGGGATGGTGATATATACTTCATGTAGCGCTGTCTCACAATGATTCACTTCAGGTGCTAAACTGAATTGGAATAAGAGTTCATGGTAAGGCCCCTGGAGAAACTACGGGCTCGACTGCAAGACCAGGGTACGGCGGGCGCTGCTAACGCGTCTTAGTAGCAGTCTAGTTGAGGGTCTGTGACGAGGAGACGCGCGGGGCACGTGAACTGCACTTTCAGTCGGTAGCTATGTCCGGATATTGTCGCAGGACATTGCTACTTGGCATCTCCGGTAGGTACTAGCCCTGAGAGCTAGTAGAGAATGAGCTAGACATCTTCTGGTCCCTCCGGCCGCGTAGGAATTTACGAACTGGAGAGACGCCGTTCAGTCGGCGTCGGGAAGTGAACGCGCCTTACAGCTCCGTCACCAATGAAGAGATTTGGTAATCGACTTAGAGTCCGGGCGGCTCAGCGGTGGCAACCGTTAGTCGTGCGGAGCGCGACGGGAAGTGAGTGTGCCTATAGCTCCGAGTACCTACCTGGAAAGTAGGAGGGTGCTATACGTGCACCCGGGGCGGCTCACCTAAGGCACTAATCTTACAGAGAATCGTTATAGTACTCTTCTCGTATACCATAAGAGTCTGTAGGGAGAGTCACTATTATCAAAACTAACGTAGAAAGATATGGGGCTGTTGTTATGTGAAATGATAATAAAAAACAACTATTTCTTTGATAATTGAAATGAATAGACCAGACATTGGATGTCCATTCATGGGCAAATGAACTTACCGGTGTTCCCTTTGCATTATGTCCTTAAATACCTTCAACATTGGAGACTGCGTTTCTTTGTCACGCTTGCGCCCACGACTGCACACAAAGATAACAGATTAAATATAGAGATATCTCAATTGCAAGTAGTTGAGAAACCACCAATGCCTGACCTGCCATTTTACAAACAAGATCGGAAGAAACCTCAGGCGTGCGGCTATCAAAACCTATTTTAAACCCCCGAAGATTTATCAGTTCCTGAGACTCGAGGAACGTAACATTCCCTTACAGAATGCAGGAGATTACAAGCTTAACTGCAAGTGCTGTCTCTCACATTGGACAGACGAAGCATTACTTTCTCGAACTCGTATATTATAAAGAGTGATTATTTAGGAGATGGTGAATGGTTTGTTACCCGATATACTGAGATTGCTGGGTAGTGTGTATGTTTATCTCATAATAAGTAAAAGCTAGTGTATAAATATGGAGTAAATGTGATGTAAAATTAGCCTGCAAAATTTGTATATACAATCTGCGGTCTGCGAGCATGTCATGGATACACATTCAATGAAGTTTGACAAACCCCAGATCCTTGCAAAAGAAGTCCGTTATCTTCCCAGGGCGCTGCGAGAGACCATTGAAATTAAAAAAACACCCTAATTTCAACATGGAATCGTCCATGGTACTGCATGGTACCAGTGGGTAGTTTTTCCGTATACTACCAGTTAGGAATTCAGTACTATGGAAGAATTAATAAATTTTTGGTGCAAAAGGTGCAATTTTGCGTATAGTTTAATAATTCAACCGAATGGACAAAGATTGAAACCGAATACCAGACAATGTAAAAGCATACACAACATAGCGCCTGATAACTTACTTTTAGTAATATTTTATGTATAAATAATTGCAAATTTATAATATTAGGCGCTAACAACATTTAAAACCTCTCTCCCAATCATTCAAATGAAATATGAAATGATATTCCTTTGAAAGTCTCGACAAGGCTTTTGTTTTTTGCCGAACTTACGATAGTAATAGAAAACTTTATATATTGACATATATTATTATTATTCATGTTTATTATTTTAAACTAAATGTGTAGAAATAATTAATAAAATTGTGCATATTTCTTACCTTCTTCCCATATTATTCCATTTCGAATTTTGTCAAAACAATTTTTGCTTTGACATGTATCAAAATTTGTCTCTGACGTTCGTCAAGATTTCTTCTTTTTAACCCCTGACGCAAAAAGAGGGGAGCTATAAGCTTGAGGTATTTGTGTGTTTCAAAGAGAAGGAACTATACCCGGAGGCCTGAAGGAGGCGACCGTTCTTTTTAAAAGAACTATATTTTTTCACAGTTATATTCCCTTTGGCCAATCATTCATAATGTATTCCCGACTAAAAAAGACAAATCTCTTGAAGGTCATGAGGACATGGAATCAGTGTTCATCCTCGAAGACCAGACCCGAGATACAATTAAGTATTATTATTAACATTAAACCATTTATTTCGAGTAACTTTTGTCTACATGAGTAACATGTGTCTGTTTTAGAACTCCTTGTGAAAGAGTTCGCCCAGGGAAGTACTGCCACCATCGAGTATATAAACAGAAATAGAGACAAAAAAAGGGCCATACATTGCAGGTAACTCATCCGTGACACATCACTAATAAACATCAACTCTCGTTTGCACGAAAATATAGAAGCGAAAACAACAGACCTGTGTGTACGTCTCCGTATATACCAAAAATATTCTGTATTTATTGTAATAAAGATAATATCTCTGACAATGGCGTGCTGTTTCATTCAGTGGTGTGGGGAAAAACAGCAAAACGTCTAATTACAAAACAAACGGAATCACATTTCATCGGTAATTATATATTAAATATGTAATTTTGCAATTTTCGTCCATTATAGCAAAGCTCAAGTTAACTTGTCGATTTGAAGTGAAACAGTTGACGACACCCGTCAACTGTTTCGAACTCGGGCTGGCCAATCGGAGCGCAGTTGTCACAGTAATGATATAGCAGAATAGTTTTCAAACAAATTAAATGACATTTCGTCTCTATTTCTGGTTATATATTCGATGACTGCCACCTTACCTATTTCTGGCGTCAAGCTGTAAGGGAGCTGGTGATAGGTAGTACAGGCACATAGGACTTATCAACTTATGTCTCAGGGTGACGGGCGCAGTCGTGTGGCGTGTCGCTAATCATATCATAAAAAAATGAAAATTATAAATACCTTACAAAGACCAACCGCAACAAATTCTTACTAATTCTTGTCAGAAGAATCTGCCTTATTTCTAGCACTCTTTAATCAGTATGTATTTCAAGAGTAATTTGTTTGTCTATGAAATAAAGTTAAATTAACCCGATTTACACAGTCACTCTAACGCATGTAATGGATGAGCTCTTAGAGCAATCCTATTTAAGCCTGTAAGTTGGATTGCCTGTCAAATTCGTACTATGACCTCACAAAAACAATTCACTGTCCATGCAGTTTAGGTTCCCCATTCGAAATTCGTTCACCTTTTCATTCATTGCAAAATCGTATCAAGACGTGCCATTTGCAATGCAAATGGCGGTGTCATCTGTAAAAATAAACAATTCAAAACAAAATTACTCCGTGACTAACTTTTTTAGAATTTGATACGTTTTTAAGGAATTTCGTTTAAGTTTTATTACATTTTCGACTTCAAAAAAGGAGGAGGTTCTCAATTCGACTGTATGTTCTTTTTTTTAGATAGATAGATAGATAGATAGATAAAAGCTTTATTCAAGCTTTATTTTTTTGTATGTATGTTACGCGATAACTCCGGTATTTGTGAACCGATTTTCATGATTCTTTTTTTGTTGGAAAGGGGATACTTCCATAGTGGTCCTATTTTATTTTGAAGAAAATCATCCACCTCGAAGGGTGGCTGTTCACGCATGAAGATTCACTTTTATAAATAGCGCCTAACTTTAATTTAGGAGCAATTACTTTAATGGTTGATTTTGCTATTTCTTCCATTCAAGGCGTTTTTCTCTCAATATACTTTCTGTAGTGTCGTAGTGAGAACATATTTTTATTATCTCCAGCGTCAAGTCCTGTATAGTGGCGAACTAGGGGATATTTCAATAAAACTTAGCAAATAGACGTAATTCCACGTACTTTTGAGGTCCGTTTTTTTAGTACTCTGTACTGAGATTATTAGGCTATATAGCCAATTGTTAATAAATAAATACTATTAACTATTGAGTGTTATAAGAAATTTTTAGTTCGAATTTCCAGTAATTGCAATTTTTAAATGGAATTTTAATCATTTATATAATTTTATTGACTTCGACGAAAATCGTAAGATAACTTTTAAATGCCGCCAATTTCACTTTATTGCAATCAATGACGTTCCAATTATGTTATCAAATTACAAACTCACCTTATTAATTTCATTGATAATGACCAGACATGACGTGTAATTTTGTCGTACGACAAATTGTACAGTATGATTGAAAAGTTATCGATATTACAATACAACGTAATAAGTATAATCAATAATAAAATTAATAAAAAAGTATAATTATTCTCATTTTGAATACTATCGGTTAATGGTGCTTGAACGCTCCCAGGATAGTACATCTGTCTATTTCTTTCACATGATTTAGTATGTAGTTCCAACTCGCTCTTGTTAGATGTCAGCTAACCAGCCAGAGATAATAATTAACGTTTAAAAAGCAAAACTCATCATTCTGTCATGCCATTCTGTTCAATTTTTTGTGTAGGTCATGAAAAACTCACAGGACATTGGCGAAATTGCCATTTTTTTTGTATAATTTTTATAATAATACTAAATTACCGTACTTAGTTATTTTTACTTCACATTGGCAAAATCATTGATTATTTCGATGGGGCCATAATATTTAAAAGAAGAAGAAGAAGTGTA